TTTAATGGTGCTGAGGTTCAACCCATGGCCTTGTGCATGAGAAGCAAGCACTCTCCCAACTGAGATATATCCCCAGCCACTTAATAATTTTTTTTTTAATATTTATTTTTTAGTTTTCGGCGGACATAACATCTTTTGTTTGTATGTGGTGCTGAGGACTGAACCCGGGCCTCACGCATGCTAGGCGAGCATGCTACCGCTTGAGCCACATCCCCAGCCCCATTAATAAATTTTGTTATTATTTACTTTTTAGTTGTAGTAGGACATAATACCTTTATTTTACTTATTTATTTTTATGTGGTGCGGAGGATCGAATCCAGGGCCTCACATGTGCTAGGCGAGCACTCTACTGCTGAGCTACATCTCCAACCCCACTTAATAAATTTTTGTTGAACAAAATGGTCATCCTCTGCTCCACCCAATGGGTGTCATAAGCACTAACAGAGGCAAACACTTGTTTGTTTCAGGGTTTGTCAATATAAATTAAGTAAATTAATCAGCTAAAGACATGTGAATTCATACCTGTCTAAATTTAGCTCTTGCTTCTTTTTCCTTCATTCTTCCATGTGCAACCAAATAGTCAAATACTTCACCTATAATTGAGAGAAATAAAAGGAGAAGTTATACTTCTGAGCATTAATTTTCCCAGAAATTGTTAATGTTTCACTTTTAGCACTACTCTAAATTTTGGTGGTGGCAGGGGGTAACTGGAGACTGTATCCAGGAGTGCTTTACCACTGAGTTACATCCCCAGCCCTTTTTATTTTTGAGACAGGGTCTCACTAAGTTGCTCAAGGCCTCACCAAGTTGCTGAGGCTGGCCTAGAACTTGTGATCTTCCTGACTCAGTCTCCTGAGTTGTTCCGATTACAGGTGTGTGTTACCATCCACAAATAATTTTTATACCAGTATGAAGTTAGCCAGAAATATGTGGAATGTGAATTAAGCTAGGATAAAGTTTCACTGGGTATTTAAGTTCACCAGTAAAATCTTTAAGCTGGAGAAAAGCCTTAAAATTAAATTCTCATATGCTTAAATTATACAACTTCCATTTAATAGTTTTTTTTTTCATTTTACATGTTTTCAATATGCTTTAATAAAAACTGAGCAATGAAAACGGAAAGTTAAAATGAATTAAATTATTTGGGTTAAAAGAAGCCATTCTCCTTGTTGGATGATGGCCACAAAGTATTTCCTGAGTGTGTTAATTCATTCAACAAACATTTATTGAGTGCCTAGTAACTGCCAGGCACTGTCCCAGGTTCTGGAAAAATGCAACAGTGACTTTGGCAAAGCCCCTTGCCCCATGGAGTTTGCCTTTTAGTAGGGAGACAGTGAGCAAGCATGCACCTAGTACATGAGAGGAACTGAAAGTGTGATGTAGAAAAGGTGGGAATAAACAGGAAGAATGTGAGCTTCCTTGCATCCTGCTGGGGACCTTAGAGAGTGAACAATGAATGTAGTTCTCTGAGAGGAAGAGTCTATGGTAAGTAGGAGAAAGAAGCAAGGCAGCCATGGGGCTATTGAGGCATAAGCAACGGGGAGAGGGCAAATGTGGAGGACCCAAGAGGCTTTGGAAAAAACTCTGGCTTTACTGCAGATGAGACGAGAAGCAGAGATGAGAAAATGACTGACCTCTTAAAAAGATCAATGGATATAACAAGGGGAAGGAGTAAGCCAAGAGGAAGGACAGGGAACCAATTGGAAGACCTGTGCAAAAATCAAGCCAGGCATGACAGTAACGGCCCAGAGTGGGATGTGCAGTGGATGAGCAATGGGGCTCAGGACATAATGTAGATGACACTGGCAGAGCTCACTATCCAACATCCAAGTGCATTTCCACATAGTGTTAACTCCTTGGGGAAGAGGAGGCACCTCAGAGAACACAGTATTAGTGCTAAGTGCTCATCAATTTAGAATGAGGAAACACCACCCCTGCAATCCACAGAAACAATCCTTATTTTAAAAATTTAAAGGAAGATGCTTTTGGGAACCATGTCTACCTAATAAGTGAAAGAAACATGGACCTACATCAGCTTAGTGACAACATTCAACTAAAACATTCCGAGACTTAAAGTCATTCTAAATTATACATGAGTATCTTTGGCTTTAAAACTATTGACCCAAACTCTGAATAAATACATTTTAAATAATGGATGAGTAAAAATATTTCCATTTATCACTCGACTGCATGGTCTTTTAAAAGACTTTCCATGTTAATTTACATTCACAGTGCATTTAATTATGATGAATTGTGAGCTAAATGTCAATTCAGTAAAGTGTCAGCATTTTCTAAGTAAATGATCTTTCTATTTATAGAGAAGCATACATCATCAAACAAGTGGTTAGCAAGTAAAAAAAAAACTAAAGATGTGAAGATGGGTTATTATTATATATACAGAAGGCAGTCTGACTTAAAAAAAACAGCTCATTTGCTGTCATAGAGAAACAATGACAAAGTCCAAATATGTCAATATAACTTTAAAAAATTATATTGTTTTTATAAATTCCAAATGAATGGAACATAAACCTCTTATGAGATTTCTAGAATCACAAAGCACATTTACAATTACTAAGTTATAAGTAAGGAATCCAACTTATAAGCCAGGAATGCAACCAAGATCTTTTTTATCCTTATTAAAAATGTATTAACACTCAGATTAAGCAGCTGAACTGAAAACATCTAAAGGCTGTTTACTAGAGAAAAAAAGCAGAGTGGCACTCCTGCCCAGGCCAGGGAACACACAATTGGTAAGACACTGGATAGAGCAATTCAGAACGCCCTTAGCTCTAGTTCACATCCTGCAACCAAGAAGCTATGAACCCTTGGCACAGCACAACCTTTTGGAGACTAGACTATAAAAATTTCGATAGCTACCCTGAATTATTTATTTCTTTTCTTTTGCCTTGGATGATTTCTAAGATTCTTTGCAGTTCTAAAACTTTACGAGTCCACCAAATCAAAAGGCACCAAGCTGGAGGGGAAAGGGCAGTCAATTTATTTTTTAAAATAAAAAAAAAATAATATATTTTTTTTTTGTGTGTGGGGGGGGGCACCTCGAACAAGCCAAGCACTCTATCACTGAGCTACACCCCGGCTCAAGGGCAATCAATTTAATGAAGTGTTTGTGGTATGTCCTAGAGATTGACAGTGTTTGCTAAGGTGGTTACAAGAACTCCATCAATGAAGTGCTGTTATAAATGCTGAGGGCTGTCAGCATGTCCACTGTGAAGCTCCCAGAAGGATTACTCCTCTGGTCACAGAGCCAATGAGGGTCACTGGCTCGACTCACAATTCTTTTCCAAAGTCCATCCTCTTTCTACTAAACATGGATGCTTCTCAAGACATGTTTATCTTGACTATAGAGCAATCTGTGGCCTGGGCACCTAAAATAGGTGGGAACAGAAAGCCATGACCAACAAACTGGAGAGACTATATGCTGTCATGACATGTTTGCTCCAGGTGTGGGGGTGTGACTCTACAGCCTACCCAGTTTCCATTGCTCATTGGTAAAAGCCGTGGCTTACAACTTGGTCACATCATGGAATTGCTGTGAAAGTCAAAGAGGCCAGAGAGAATAAGCACCTTGAACAAGACCACACAAACAAGGAGGTTATGGGGCTGGGGATGTGGCTCAAGAGGTAGCACGCTCGCCTGGCATGCGTGCGGCCCGGGTTCAATCCTCAGCACCACATACAAACAAAGATGTTGTGTCCGCTGAAAACTAAAAAAAAAATAAATATTAAAAAAAATATCTCTCTCTCCCCTCTCTCTCTATCTTAAAAAAAAAAAAAAAAACAAGGAGGTTATAAGGGTTATTCTGTATAGTTTGCCTGTGGGATGAGCAAGTGCTGGAACTCCATACAGAGTTCAGCTCTTCCTCCCTCCCGCTCCTCAAATTTGAAAAATCCCAACTAATTTCCCAAACTGCAAATTTAAAATAAAAAATACAATTCAATTAAGAGTATGAAAGAGTGGTGCCAGAGGTACACTTACAATAATTCTTTCTTTCCCAAAACAGGTTTAGAATCTTTTAACTTAATGGTTAACTTGGTACAATGAGGCTGTGATTCAACCTTCCATCCCCAGATTTTGCAACCTTGATCAAAGAACAAACAATAAAATAAAACTATGATCCTATAGAGTACAACTGGATTTATCTCCAGGAGTTTATAATTTCACAAATGCAGCCTAATTCTTATTTTTTAGTATCTGCTATGTGCTCAGCACAGTGCTAGAAGTAGGGAACACAAAAAAAGATGAATGGGAAAGCTTCTGCACTACATGGGCAGAGCAGCCCCATCAACCTCAACCCTGAAACCAGAGTCCTTATAAAAGACAGCAGCTGTATTCATGCACTGCTGATAGATACAATATCTAGTTTTTACAACCTTGTAGGCAAATAATTACTTGCCCTTAATCTTCATTTTAAAGAAAATCTGTCATTTGTACTGTAACCATCATTTCTAGCCTTTGCAAAGATGGACATCAATGATTTGAAAATCTGATAAAGAAAAGGATCTAACATGTAATACACATTTTTTCCCAACACACTAATGTGTTCATATATTAAAAAATTCAAAACACCTATGAAAAGAGGTATGACCAGCATGCGCGCGCGCGCGCACACACACACACACACACACACACACACACAGAAGAACATTACTTGACCTTAAGGAGGAAGGAAACTCTGACACATGCCATGGTGCAGATAACCTTGAGGACATTATGCTAAGTGAAGCAAGCCAGGCACAAAGCACAAACACTGCACGATCCTATCATACTGCTACCTACAGTGTCAAACTCACAGAATCAGGAAGTAGAAGGCTGGCTTCCAGGGACTGAGGAAGAGGGAAATGAGCTGTTAGGGTTTAGTGGGAAGGGGTATGGCTTTAGTTTAGGAAAATGGAAAATTTCTGGAGATGGATATTCATGAGGGATGAACAGTAATGAGAATATGCCGAATGGCACTGGATCATACAGTCGAAAATGGTAAGATGTTATGTGTTGTATATTTTAAAACAATGCAAAAACCCAAGAACTTGGATATCATTATTGCTAATAGTGAAACACTTACTGCAATCCACAAAACTGCTAAGGGTCAGCTTTCTGACCCTATCCTAGAGTATTATAACTCTGGATGTTAAATAAAACCTTAACAATTACCTGCCTATGGGCAGTGTGCTGTGCATTCTTTTGAAAGAGAAGAAAAGCAACCCTGATTCACACAGATGTGCTTACCTCCACTTGCATACTCCATGATTAAGTAGAGTGTTTTTTCAGTTTCAATGACTTCAAACAACTTCACTGAGGAAGGGGAGAGGATGCAAGAGAAAAATAAAAACAAAAACAGAAACAGAAACAAAAGTCTTTAAGCATAAACCATGCACATACAAACTCCAACTATGAGAAGCAATTTTTCCCTGTTAAAGATTTTAACAGCTGGCCTCTAAAATAATGTTCTCAGGAATTTTTACCACACTAAAAGTTTTTATAAAAATAAAGAATTCTATAAAAATAAAGACCACTTCTGGGTGATCTGATGCTGTCAGGGTGCTGCCAAGTGTATGTGCTCTATTTCTTCTATCCCTGTCCCTGTTCCTATGTCTGTGTGGGCCAGCTGCACTCTCAGAAGCCTACCTTTCATACCTACTTCTCTCAGCTGGCAAGGGTGGCCCAGATCTACTCTGCACTGCAAGTGTGAGTCTGCTCACTTGTCACCACAGCCTTACAGAGGTGATTCTAACTGAGACTTGCTGCTTAGGGAACTTAACTCTCAAAGAACAGGGGTTTCTTCATCACTATGCTGAGGCCAGTAATACAAAAAGGTAGAAGGGATTATGAGGCAATTAACTGAAAATAACTTTTTTTATAAGAATGATTTTCAGGGCTGGGGTTGTGGCTCAGTGGCAGAACGCTCGCCTATCATGTGTGAGGCCCTGGGTTCAATCCTCAGCACCACATATAAATAAAGGTATTGAGTGCAACTACCACTAAAAAAATGAATAAAAAAAGATTGATTTTCAAGGGGATAGTATAATATTGTTCATTGTCACAGATTAAAATATACCTCTAAAGCTATCAAGTAATAATTTTACATATCTGCTTTGTTATACCGTCTTTAAAATTAAATTAATCCAAAAGAGGAGAGGTATGCTCATCTGTTATAGAGCAGGTGATTTTTCTGATGCCTCAGTAGAGTACTAGGTCAAAGTTCACAATGGCATAATCAATAAATGTCATATGAACTGAAGAACAAAACCATCAGACCATTTCTTAGACTGGAATATGTTCAGATTTTAAGAAAAAACCATTTGGGAAAGTTAAGGTATATGTGTTGATAAACCAACAAAAAAATGAAATCCCTTTAATATTCTAATGCAAATTTTGGCTCTTATGGAGAAGGATTTTTCTATTTTGGGTGCTGGGTATCAAACCAAGGGCCTCACACATGCCGGGCAAGCATTCTACCACTGAGCTACATCCCCAGCCCTGGAAAAATTATTGTAATACAATAAAAATTTAAAAAAATTTTAATATCAAAGATACTTATCATTTAATAAGTAGGAAATTCTATAACCAGGATACAATTTTAACTAATTAAAGGATAAATTAATATGTTAAAGTTAGTTCTAGGTAATAGTTTTGTTTTTTTGGTGAAAAATTGAAATGTGAAGCTCAGAACTGGCTGGATAACCTCAAAGGGTTGAAATGAAAAGGGAAAAAAGGCAGCTTTCTTCCTGTTGTTACATTCCTTGCGATCTTTCTTCTCTTCAAGTATATACTTCATTGATTTCTGAGCTGTGCATTTGTTTCACATTTTAATTACTATCCCCTGACATAAGGATGATGGCTTGGTAGCATTTTTTGTTCTTTGTATATACAAAACAACAATGCCCTTAAGTGATGGTAGCTGACTGGACGACACAGGGTATACTCCCTTTTTCAAGTCCACAGTCGAGTCCAGCTCTGAGTAAGGACTCTATGGTTCCACGTTGTCCTTCTGTCCTTATGCCTAGCTGTGTACAGCCTGTCCTCAACACTACACACCAGCCCTCTCACTTAGACTGTAGTTGCTACTACTATATAAAATGGAGTAATATTATTTAAAAAGCCCTATTATGATATATATGACATCAAAATTTTCATTGGGATACATGTCAGTGTTAGATAATTTGCATATTTAATCTTGTTCCAACAATTACTACAAGGGCAGCAAAACCATATTACTTCATTTTTAAACACCTGGCAATGTTGTGTACACAGAGGACACATAAAATAAATCTCTTTTTAAATAAAATTCCTATAAAAATGTCATTAGATAACAACTATCCCCCCTGCACCACCCCACTTTTTGGCAGTATTGGGAATTTGACCCAGCAGCACTCAACCACTGAGCTACATTCCCATTTTTTAAAAAATTTGAGTCAGGGATTCACTAAATTGCTGAGGCTAGCCTTAAACTTGTGGTCCTCAGCCTCATGAGTTGCTGGGATTATAGGCATGTATTACAGTCCCTGGCTTCTAGTACCCATCTTTTTTTTTTTTTGGTTGTGCTGGGAATTGAACCCAGGGCCTTATAATGCGAGGCAAGCACTCTACCAGCTGAGGTATATCCCCAGCAAGTATCCCATCTTTTAAATATGATTCAGCATACAAGTATTTTGTAGTAACACAATCACAGCAAAAAAATATTATATCTTTGAAAATATTATTCCTTCTATAATTCCATTCTACTAATGAAATACAATTATATTTTCTAATACATTAGAAAATTAGAAAATTATAGTCTTGACTATGGGTGTTTCCACTACATTAAAACTTTAAATTCAGATGCTTATTTAATGCCTGAGCTTTTAACCTGTCTTCAGTAATTTTGAAAGGCTAATACAAATGATCAACTTGTATACATAATTTATTAAAAGTGTACCTGGGCTGGGGATTGGGAAGGAGTGTCCTATCATGTCCTATCACTTTGGGAATACCTGTTTAGTTTTATGACATACTTTTCAAGAATGCATTTAGACCCAAAAATATTTAAGAAAGCAGAAAGTACCTATGTTTGGATGATTTAAAATCTTCATTATTCTTACTTCTCTGAAGAGCTAAAAAAAAAAAAAGAAAAAGAAAAAGAAAGACAACCCCCCATGTTATTAAACATACTTCACTGTTGCAACAGAAATTTAAATTTTCTCTTAGATGCTGATTTGTAGCTAATATTTATTGTCCCATACCTAAGACTAACATGAAAGTCTGGAGTAACTCTGAAGTAGGTTTGTAACCTATTACCAAACATTATTTCCAAATGCTTTCATTTATGGACAACAAGCAGTGATTCCAAAGGGGAGAGTACCACACTCTTAAATTCTTTTTGTGATCTTGAAAACAGCTCAGACTTAAGTTTAATCCCAGGCTAAATCACAGGTTAAAGTTTAATTGCTAAGTTGCTGAGGCTGGCCTGTGATTAAACTTAGTTTGATTCAGCATCTATTCAGGAATTTCACTTCTGTGTATCAAACTGATACAGTCTCAGGAACTACAAAGTCAGCATATGAGATTAACAATTCCAAAAGTTATATAACAATATTCTGAACAAAACCAACATGGGAAATCCTCATTGGAGATGATGAGTAATGCAGCATGGAGGCTGCTGTAGAGTGCAGTATTAGAAACTCTTGTGAGCCAGGCACCTCCAGGGATATGCAGTTGTGGAGTACCCCCTTTCATGCTGACTTAAGACTTGGCTCTATTACTTGCTGTGGCCAATGCAACATTAGCAGATTTGAAGCAAGCAGAGGGTGGATAAAATGCATGGGCATTAGGAACTGCTCTCTTGCGATGATGTGAAGAAGCAGGTCTAGCCTCTTTGATGATGAAAGGTAGTACATACAAAGAAGGATCCAATGTCCTGAGTCCAGCCCCTGCCAGCTGAACAAAGCCATACCAGTGAACCCAGGTGAGACCTCCAATTTGGATACCATATGGGGACAGCATGGGATGCTGCATTCAGAACTAAGCCCTGTCCATGGCCTGACAGCCCTATACTTTGCAGCTTCTGTCCTTCATTATTATCCTTCATTATGTCCTTCCAGCATCCACACCAGGCACCCTGACTTTCTTTAGTTGCTAGAACATGCTAAGTTAAAGTCTCTTCTTTTCACTATTCAAGTCTTGGGCAGATTCTCAGAAGCTCTCTGGGTAAGTCTCCTTTGTTTTATAGCAGAATCATCTATTCACTTTTTCCTTAGAATGTCTTTGTAGGTTGTGATTATGCATTTTTGTACACTTGTTTATTATACCTTTTCATCCACAGGAGCCTGAAACCAAGCCTGGCACATAAAAGAACACAATTTGTTTGATAAAAGCCTGCAAGTAAGCACTAAATACCAAGAAGTGTGGTGTGAGCCTGCCTCCGTGGCATTCTAATGGCCACAGGGCTTCAATCCTGTTAGAAGAATGGATGCTTGCTACAGAGCTGTTGCTACTCTGCTTGCTGGCAGGACAGCAGGTCAAATGAAGGCAATTATTTTTTAATTCCTATTAGTAGTGCAGTATGATTGAAACAAAGTGAATTAAAGTCAAGACTAGGGGAAAGATGAAATATTATAGAAATTCAAGGAAGGAGGGTCTTACTTCTGTCTAAGGATTTATGCAGACTTAAAAAGGATGTCTACCTCCGAATAAGGGGTTCATGTGTGCTGTGTAAGTGAAGATGGAGAGATGTGACCAGTTCAGGCATTTAAGGAAGACCAAGCGATCCCATTCTGGTCAGAGCAGTGTTTCCACGTGGGAACTCCCGGCTACCCACACCAGTCAACAGGGTGTTTGGGGCAAAGTACAGATTCCTGGTCCTACTTACCATTCCATGTGAAATGGAGTATGAGAATCTTACTCTGTATGTGTGTATGTGTGGGTGTGTGTGTGGTGTGTCCTAGGGACTAAACCCAGGGCTTCGTGCATGCAAGTGCTTTACCACTGAACAACATACTCTGCCCCTTTTTTGTTTCATTTTGAGACAGGGTCTCACTAAATTGCACAGGCAGGCCTTGAATTTGTGATGCTCCTGCCTCAGCCTCCCAAGTAGTCACCATACTAGGTAGAATAATACTTTTCAACAAGCACTTCATACGTAGTCATTTCAAAATGTCCACAATTCCTCCCCTTAAAAGGTAGAGCTACCGGGGATGGCAGTGCATGCCTATAATCTCCTCTAATCTAGAGGCTGGGGTAGAAGGATCACAAGTTCAAAGCCAGCCTGGGCAATTTGGCAAGACCCTGTATCAAAAGAAAAGAAAAAGGGCTGGAGATGTAGCTCAATGGTAGAGTGCTTGCTAGCATGCACAGGCCCTTGATTCAATCCCCAGTAGGGGGTAGATGGCGGGGGTGGGGGGGTGCTAACCTTAGTTACTTGCTTCTAACCAACAGAATGTGGCAGAAGCAAAGAAGGGGGCCCTTTGAAGGCCAATAAAGTCCCAGACAGTACTCCCTTCTTGCTCTCAGATTGCTTGAGCATCATGAGAACATTCAAGCACCACTGTGGATAGGCCCATATGGCAAAGCAGTAAGTCCACATGCCCACAATCAGTGGTGAACTCAAGTCCCAGCAACAGCCATGTGAAAGCACCCTCTCTCGCAAACATCTGCCGGCTCCAAGGAAGCCTTCAGATGATGGCAGCTGGGCTGACGTCCAACCAAAACCTCTTGAGACAGCTGAGTCTGAGTTGTTAGACAACACATAAAAGTTTGAGAACCTCTACGTTAAAGCAGGAGCCAAGGATTCATGCTGTAAAACACATCAGGAAGGGACCAGAGTTCCTAGCAGGGTAGAGTCAGGACATTACCACACTAACTTCACATATTTTTCTATCAGAATTATGTACTAGGTAGAAACTGGCAAGCAGCAAATGAGTTAATAAACTCTATGCCAAATTACACAAGGACAGTCAGGGGCAGAAGCTAACAGTCACCCAGTCCCTCCAGCGTGTGAAGTAGTTAGATACTTCGCATCTATGATCTCACCTAAATTCTACAAGTTGAAGGGGGATATAATCATCCCTATTTCACAGAGAAGACAGACAAGAAAGGCTAAGCATCTGTCTAGAGACTGAATCAGAGCATCTAGATCTTTGTCTAGAACTCAAAGATCCACACTCTAAGGCTGTTGTCCTGGAAATTGACAACCAGAATAATTAAACAACTTACAAATATATGCTGCTGACAGAGAAGATCGAGAGCAACATGTGGTCTCTGGCACAGAAGCTTTTTAGAAGTTGATAATTTACATACAAGTAAGATAAAAAGATGCCAGCTATTTCACAATCTGTGAACCTGATAGATCATTAAACGTGAACAGGAATAATATATTAAAAGGAAAACATGCACTTTAAGAAGAGTTCCTATAAGGGACCGTACAACATATTTTTAAGTTCTGTTATCTTATTTTTTTACACTTAAAGAGACACTAGTTGTAAAAAAAAAAAAAAATCAAAAGCACAGAAATAGATAACATCTTCCCTCACTGATTAATCTGCGTCCTCAACACATTTTCACATACCTTTGAAGAGAGGTACAGGATCCTGGTGAAGAGAGTATCAAGCACCCTAAGCCTATTGTGTCAGAGGAGTAAAGAAATGTCCCCACAGCCAGGACTTGATATGCACAGGTGCTATCTTTGGAAAAAGACAGTTTTAACCAACAATATGAAAATAAAATGGAATATAAAAGAACATGAGGGAATTACAGATACAACATTGGTCTAATTACCATGCCATGTATTTAGGTTCCCATCTCTGGGTATACAGGTATGGGACAGAACAGAGGGCTGCTGAGTGGCAGGCTGAATGACACCTCAGGTGCTAGAAATCATGGCAGGAAACACAATGACAACAAACCTCTTCTTTGGAAGAGGAGATACCCAGAAGTAAACGGAGGAGGAGGTGGCCCAAGCACACACCCTGTTCTGCACCTCAACTCCTGCAGCCTGCCCACTGAAGTGCCATCCCCTCTTCTGCCCTGGTAGAAGCTGCCAGCCTATTTTTCCTAGAAAGCTGAATCAGAGCATCTAGACATGGGGACCTTGTCCTGAAAACAGGAGCCCATGAGTGGTGACATATCCTCCTTACCCATTTTCTTTGCTTGCCTCTCGGACTCCTCCAACCCTTCTCACATTGTATTGAAAGAGATCGGAGTGTCTCTTTACCCTTATTTTTTTCTGAGAAAAATCAGCTTAGGTGAAAGATATCTAGACACGGACATTCTAGTATCTTCTAGTGGAATGACTTAATCTCTACCTAGTCACCTATGATCCAGTTCTTATGTACACGACACTCAGTTCTGTGCTTCTGTGCCTTGCTCTTGACAGCCAAGAGTCTTGGGATACTTGTGGACAACCAGAGATTTAAAAAAAGGGAAGCCTGGTACAATGGTGCATGCATGTAGTCCCAGCAATGTGGGAGGCTGGGGCAAGAGGACTGCAATTTTAAGCTCAGCATGGGCAACTTAGTGAGACCCGGTCTCAAAATAAAAAATTAAAAGGGCTGGGGGTATAGCTCAGTGGTAGAATGTCCCTGGATTCAATCCATAGTATCCCCCCCCAAACACACAAGCAAACAAACAAATAAAAAAATGAAGAGAAAAAGGAAAACCAGAAGAAGAAATAAGATTACTTTAAACAAAAACAAATTACAGTTGGTGTTTTAAATATTTAGAAATGAGAAAGAAAAAATAACAGCAACCACCACATTCGCAAAAAAAGAACATGACTGCACTGAAGAAAGGTCACTGGCTTGGGGATGAATTATGGTATCAGAAAGAAATTCAAAAAAAGGGTTGGAAAGCAGTCAAGTGAAATCTTTCAGAAAGCAGTACAAATTCAGATATGAAAATTAAAACCTGAGAATTTCTATGAAGAAGGTGCAATTTATGATACACAGGACTTGAGCAGTAAATGAATAGAGGACAGGAGGGAACTAACCAGAGATTCACAGAACTGCACCATGTTAATTTCCAACTGTGAGGCTTCAGAGTGCTCAGTATAGTAAGTGTATCTGAACCTGCTGTCTCTTCATCTCTTCCCTGACTTACTAGGTCACTCATGGCCTAAAGA